CCACCAACTGTAGTTCCTGGTGGTGATTTGGCTAAAGTACAACGTGCCCTCTGCATGATCAGCAATTCCACCGCAGTGGCCGAGGCCTGGGCCCGATTGGATCACAAGTTTGATCTGATGTACGCAAAGCGTTGCTTCGTACATTGGTATGTCGGTGAGGGTATGGAAGAGGGTGAATTCTCAGAGGCCCGTGAGGACTTGGCAGCCCTTGAGAAGGACTATGAGGAGGTTGCTGCTGATAGTGTGGAGGGCGAGGGTGAAGGAGAAGAAGAAGAATTCTAAATGGAGAGAAGAACTGCAAAAAATTGTAAAGCTACCGTGTATTTGGACAATGCCCACATTTGTTACAAGTGGATTACCTATGTAAATTTGTCTAGCTGACAATATATCCACTGAAATAAACTTGAATAAAGCCCCAGTGTGTGTAAAATTCTGTTTGGCGGCCGAATTCATGAATAGCTGGTGGAGTACGAGGTCACATCGAACATTCGTCTGCTAAGATGGTTAAGCGGGCGACCATCCTCGATAGGGGGGGAAGCAGTTAACTGTCATAGGTATGCAGGCGGAAACGGGGAGACCAACACAGGGCGCAAGAAAGACGGTTCGACTCGTAGGTCAATGACATGTGCGGGGTGGAATGGGACGTAGAGCGTTAATTAAAGGTTATTTAGGCGACCAAAGGCTGGCCGGTCCAGTCGCCGCAGTCGCGCATGAAAATCCCATAAATGCGCGCCACAACCCAAACATAAGAGAAAACCGAAAGCTACGGTCTTTGGCTAAGAGCAGTAAATCCAAGAGGTCTGTTGTTTAGCATTCACTGCAATTGTAGATATGTCGCAAGTGGTTATGTCGAGAACAGGTCATAAGTATCCCCCCCCCAAAATCACAAGTCAGGGAAGACGGTGTAGGTGGACAGAGCTTTACTGCTGGAAAATGAACGGCACAAAGGCTGTGCTACGATCCAGATGTGTCCGCAAATTGTGTGTGTCGTGTCTGAGGGTTCGTAGTGATAATAACCACATATCAGTAGGTCGAATTTCGGCCTATCTAACCTGTTCCTATATATTTTAACGAACAGGAGTCGTCCAATATTCGTATTGATCAATAGATGTCCTTTATTGAACCAATATTTGTTTATGTTGGTAGTTTTAATTCTCTCCTGGTACTTTACAAATAGATATTTAACTCGCTAGAACAATTACCAGGGGCCTTAATTTGTTTTCTACTGTTCAGTTTGCATGCATTAAACACACATTATCTACTTCGTCCTCAAGCATTAAACCTTTAACCTCGAGTTCCTTAAGAAATTTGGGCTGGGGGCCTCTATAATTTGGCGACCCCACGACCAATCGTCGTGTGACACGCTGTAGGCCAGAATGTTCCAGTACGCTCATCGCACGCCATTGGCAGAAATGTTCAAGAACGGCCAGAACGCCATAAATAAGCTAGAGTTTACGAGCTAGGGAATCCGCTGTTTCTGTAGGTTCTGAATAAAGTCGTTGCTCTCAGGGATAAGTTTTGCTCTCTTTTTTCCGCTTACCTGTAGTGGCCGAAGACGTCGATAGAAGCCAACGCGGTTGAGCAGACCACTTGAAATAGCCTTCTGATTATGTAAACGCTGAAAGGCTTGTTAAACACTAAGCAGACACGTTTGCCTAGACCCGGGGTCGGCAACCTATGGCTCG